CCGCAATCCCACCCGTTCTAAAATTCAACATGCCTAATTTTAAAACGAAAAAAAAAAAAAACAAATCTCCTTTGTTTAGATTTATATAGAACGTATTAGAGCTTCGCATGGGATGAAAAACTCTCTATCCCATGGGTAGAAGCCGTGGGTGCAAAACAAATTGAACTCGGATCTGACAAAGACTGAAACTTTGAATCCGAACCCGCAGCTTTCTACCCATGGGACATTTTTTAAAAGAGTTGTATTCCATTCGGAGCCCTGTAATGTATCAATAAATATAAAACAAGGAAAACCTATCCAATGTTATTTATAGATAGTTGAGAAAATCCTGTATCTCTGCAACCTTGTCGCATCAACTAGAAACAAGATAGAATGAGTGTATGACACAAAGCAAATGTTGTATGGGTTAAGAATCATCTCAGACACTCTAAGAATTGATCTAAGTAATGAAAGAATCGTCTAATGATTTTTCCAACTTTGACACTCATTTTTAACAACGAATTCTGTCAATAGAGATACCATGATGATAATGCGCACTATTCACCGGCGAGAGTGATGCACCGTAATTCTAGCATTCTACTTCATCAATGCGCCGGTCTAAATATGTACACCATTATTATATACGTGCATATTGTCTAGATTGGTGGTTAGTGTTGCATCTCTATTTGTTAACGAGTCAAATCTTTGAAAAACTTATCATTACTTAGTAAAAAAAAAAAAAAAAATTTCATAAGTTGAAAAATGAACATACTTGGCGAGATGATCATCATCAGGTTTATTATGATCTCCAAATTCAGCTTGAATACTAGCCATTGGTGTTGAATACATTCTACGTAATGATGGTGGTGCTAATGTTGAATCTTTTAAAAAGAACATATTTCATTTGTTAAACTTTAAAATAATAAAATTTACTTACTATTTGATACACCGTTTGTAACTGGATGTTCCTGAAAAAACACATTGAATATGATTTATATGCAAAGAATTTATTTTTTATTTTGTCTTACTCTTGGTGAATCTGTATGTGAATTAGCATGATGAACACCAATTAAAAATGAATAATCCATAATATGAAAACTTTCAAGTACCTACATAAATAATATATTATTAATTTAAAAAAATAAATCAAATTATTATATTTTATTAAACTAACTCGACAATCACGTTGAACTGTTTTTTCTAGAGCATTATGTGTTTCGGAATCAAGTATTAAACCGTCTGGATGACGTTCCATAAAATCTAAATCTTTCCATGTTGGAGATTCTTTAAGTCGTTCTTCACTATTTGCTCGTCGTTTATATGTTGAACCTTTAAGATCATATTTTTCATGCATTTGAATATGAGATGGAATTAAATTATTCATAACAGTTATACGAATATTTTTATTTTCACCCTAAAAAAAATTCATATAGACATATATATATATATATATATATTATAAAGAATAATTATATTTTAAGAAATTATTCATTTATAGCTAAAGAAAAAGAACAAAGCAGAATATGCACACAAACAAAAAGTCAATCTTCCATTTCAAGGAAGCAAAGAAAAATATCTTATCATTACTATTCATAATGGATTTTTTTCTCCAAAGAGCGATACATTGGCTAGCAAAAAAGAACGACAATAGAAGAAGAAACAGAGCAGCTTAAGAGCTTCTCTTATATGATTGCTCTCTTTTCTTCATTAACACACTCACACAAAGACATGAATCAATGAGCTAGAAAAAATTTTCTTATAACTATGCAAATTCACTTACAGACCCATTTTTATGTCTTGGTAAAAATTCTGTGACCTAGATAGATATAAAATACGACTTTCTATTCATTCAAACTTTAATTCTTCTTCTTCTTTTTTTTGGGTTCTCATAGTTTTATAAGATCATTTATCTAACAGAAAGAAAAAAAAAACAAACTTTAATCATACTTGATAACAATAGAGACCAAAAAATTTTGGTAATAATGTACGTTGATTTTGTGTAACATTCTAAAATAAAAAAACAAAAGTTTAAAATTAAATTTTATACAGAATAATGATTTATAAATGCTAACCATATAATAACCCGGAAGAAGAGTTTTTAAAAATGCAGCTTCTTTTTTTTGTACTGTTTTTATAATAAATTCATCATCGGATGTTAAATAAAATAAACTTCCACTTGCACCAGGATTTTTTAATTCACGAAAAGGTCTACATATTGAAGACTACGAAAAAAAAACAAAACGAAAAACAACAAAAATAATAATAATAAATAATTATTAAAAAATTTTATTCTAAAATCTTTACTAAATAATCTTCTGGTTTAATATTAAATTTTTCTCGAAAATGTCGAAATGCAACAGGAGCATATGATCGAATTGTAAAATCATTAAAACGATGTGGTGGTGTAGCCTTTGGTGTATTTCTTCCACCTCTATATGAACAAAAATTTTTTCTTGTTCAAAAACCAAAAAAAAAGAAAAATTCTTCTTTTTTTTATTACTTTGGAAAATTTATTATTTCAACAGTAACAAAATCTTGATAAAGTACATCATGTGCTGGTCTTGCTTCTAGACCACCAACACTATATTGAATACCTAATTGCAATGCTTCAACAAGTTGATTAGTTGGTAAACGTTTAAATGTTGCATTTCCTTGAGTATCAACACGTAAATGTCCTAGTTTATGCTTTTTACCTAATAAGACAAAAAAGAAAATTTTTAATTTAAAAACAAAAAAACATAAAGAAATTAATTTTCATACTAGTGTTATGAGCTTCGTCATCTTCTGAATCGTCAGTCATCGTAAATATTTCAACAGATTATGCAAAATATTGAAAGACAACGTATGTGTATGTAAATGTATTTCTTTTCTTTTTATCTTTTGTAAATTGAAACTAAGGTAAGAAAAAAAAGTATTAGACAAGAGAATTAAAAAAAGAAAAAAAAAAAGCTGAAAGATAAAAGAAGAAAAAAAAATGGAAAAGAAATATACAACAGTGCAATTAACCAATCGACAGCTGCTCAAAAGAAAAATCTTTAATGAATACTAGAGCCCTCTTCTGGAGTCAATAATGAAATTTCTTTAAGAATAAAAAAATGTCAAAATTTGAATAGAGAACCATTATATATGAATAATGATTTAATGTTTGTGAATGTAGGATTGGTGAAGAATATTTATTCTATTTGACATGAAATGTAATTTTTCTCGTTCATGAAAAGTATTGTTAAGATAACATCGATCAAAAAATATTGCTAAAATCTCCGTTGGAATGCGTGTTTTCTTTTCAATGAAAAAAAAAAAAAACACATTTTTTCCGTATCGAAGTCTTTTTCTATTCATTCATTCCTATTAATTTCCTTTTAATTATATTTACAACATTCTATTGCACATTTCTCACGAGGGAATTGCCCTAAGTGACACCTACTATCTTAGCGTATATTAGACTCACAAACAAGTCTTACTGAAAATAGCAAAAGCCTAAAAAAGAGTCGTTCTCACTAACCTTTGGCGTTGAGTTATGACCTGTTTACGTTTTTTCTTCGAATTTATTTTTTTTTTAGTATTTCTCGGAATATTGATTAATGTAGTTTTTATCCAAAATTTTGCCTATAGATAGATGTAATGATTCTTAGAATATCTTGCAAGTTTTAAATGAAAACAATCTTCTTTCGTCTAGTTATTGAATTTTCAAGCGAACTCAATTTTTGAAAATTCGATATCTAGCTGAAATTTTCAAAATATTCCAAGAATCATTAGATCTATCTATAGGCAAGATTTTTTTGGATCAAAACTTCGCTATTTGGCCTTCCGAGAGAGGGAATATCTAAAAAATAAACCAAATATTCAGTAAATTATTCATAGCTCGGCGACAAAGATTCATCTGGACAAACCATTTTAGACTTTTGTTAGTGTCTCATCGAGACCTGTCTGTAAGTTCAATATGAATTTAAACGGCAGATATCATTTGAGGTAGTTACCTCGTGAGTTGACGAAGTCTGTCTGCAATCTAAATCAACATTGAACTGACGATTTGTTGTGTCATCTTATCTGTGGATGATGATATTTGACAGAGACAATTTTCAACAAACTCTCATTAAACATTCTTTATGAAATACTAAGAGCAAAAAATTAATAAGACTGAATTTCTATATGCTACATTAATGGGATCTATTACAAACAGACATAAATAATCTACCCGTATACATCTACGCACGTATGGGAAAATTTTTTAATATAGAAAATTAGCTAATAAAGTTTGTCTTTCGTAGAAATCAGGATATGAAGCTTATGCACAAATTATATACAAGAAATTTCTCTACTAGGACTGCGACATATTTCTAGCCGCGATAAACATCTATGATTAGATTAACTGTTGTTTTATTTTGTTTTTTTTTTCTAATACAAATAACAAATAGTTTGTCACAAGCAGTGATGAAACCGTCGAAAATATGTTAACAAACTAAAAAGAAAAAAACTTCATTATTCTGATAGCCCTCAATCTAGCTTATCATTCTCATCATAATCCTGAACTTTTCATATTAATCTCAAAGACCTTCCGTCACAAAATGAAGCAACTAATGGTATTTTATATGAAAAGTTTTAAGTCATGTCTGAAATGACCAAGTACCGAGATTATTAACATTTTTTGATGATTGATAAAACCATTCTTTTTTTTTCTTTTTGGTTGTTGAATCAATAGAACGTAGTAAAAGATATGAAGAAATAAAAATAAAGAATAGTTGTTATCAGTTTTACTCGTACACCACGTTTGAAGAGAACAAAAAACTATTTATGATAAAGTGCATTACTCTCATTGACTGAATAGGTTATATATATATGTTCTAACAAACATTCCTTGATGATCTAGACAAGAAATCAGTAACAGAAAATAAGAACCTGGACGAAAACTTGAGTAAATCTTGTAACGGCGATAAACAAGTACGCAATACGTGCTTTTTGAAAAAAGTTCGACTTTGAATGAATTAAAAATAATACAAAACTAATGCTATTACAATGAATCATTAGAAATTTAAATAAACACTATGACTTATTGTTACTAGGAAACAATTGTTACCTTGGTAGTATATTATCTGTTATATCGTTAATTTACTCAAAATATTTTTCTTATCAAAGTAAATTTGTTTTATTTATCTATTATTGTCATGTTTTTTACGCAGCATATTTTATTCTTTCCTAGTATTCAAGTGCATTCTGCTAAACTAAAATCAAATAATTTACTTTTTAGGATCATAAATCATCAAACATTTTTATCTATATTTTAGCAGATTTTTTATTTCCTAAAAAAGGCATTTTTTACGCAAAAACTAAATTCGCATTTTTACTTCTGTGTGAAAAAGAACGCATGTTTATAAAAAAAACAAAAACAAAGAAAAGTGCGTCAAACGTAATCGAATGATGTTTTTAAATCGAAAGAAAAAATGTATTCTTTCATAAACATGTACAAACGCTGTTTGTTTTTAGGTGGTGTGTTTTAAGTTGAAATAAATGCGAAAACTTCGGATTTAAATCCGAGAGTTATGTGTACTTCAAAAAGTGAATCATACAAATCAATCCTCCTAGACTGTCTGAATATCAAAATCATACTGTGAAATCTACCATTTAAAACGTTGATTTATATTGCGCGTTGCCAAACCTATAGGACATGGGACCGAACTAAGCTCAAGTTTGAACTCTGCACCTTGATTTAGGCTATGTTCACACTAGACGAAGNTTTCATATGGCTCGAACAACACTGTGTTTTGTCCTTATAATAGCGAAGTGAAATTTTCTAGTGATTGATAGAAAAAACTGTTTCCATTAGGTACAGAAAAAATTCACTCTACCATTATAAGGACAAAACATAATGTTGTTCGGGCCATATGAAAGAGGGACCCTATAAACCCTATAATCGCCCCGAACAACACTACGTATGGCCCTTATAATAGTGGAGAAAACCTTTACTGATTCATTTTTATACCTAGATTTAAAAGTTAAATATCTCCCTCTAGGCAAGCCATGGGCAGCTAATATTGTAACCCTGTTAGTTTCTCGGTGAGAGCTTTTATTTGATCCGAATATGTCCTATTCTTTTGATTATCAATACACACACCTCCATTGTCAGATCCACTCCGAATCCGAAAATGTTGAACTGAATAGGCTCTAATCGCTCGAGAAATACGTACAATGTGCTAATCGTTGAATAAACAAAAAAAAATCGTAAAAAGAAATATCTCGCATCTTCGGAGCTACCATCTAATTTCGATTAAGAAATTCTATTGAGAATATCAAAGTACGCTTCGAAAATTTTCAATCAATCAGTCCCAGATTCAGATTCGGGCATCAAACAGGTTCAATAAACCGTCTCATAGGTTCAAGAATTTTATATCTGATAGACTCTATTATGGATAATGTTAAAAATTAAGAGATTTATTTTCATTTACAAATATATTTGATAGAAAAAAATGATTAATTCAGAATATTTTTTGTTGTTTTTATTTTCATACTTTAAAAATGTTTAAAACGAATTTATACAAATATACATATAATAAATTAATAATTTTAGGCAATCAACATGAACGTTGTGGTGATGAAGATACCGTTGTTGTCTTTCATATTATTGAAATTCGACGTTTATTTACCGAGTTTCGTACACCTCCTGAACCATTTCCTGATTTCGTTTATGATAGTTGTATATATGTAGATTCCTTTGATACATCAACAACATATCAATTTAATTTAAATAATATATATAATGCTCATCCACGTCATTGTTTACAATTATGTACAAACTATCAACAAAAATACGCTCTTATTAATGCAAATATATGTTTATGTACAAATATTCAAATAAAAGATATACAATATAATACAACTATACTACAAAATCAACATTGTTCTCAAGAATGTCCAGCTAATTATTTTTATACATGTGGAAGTAAAATTAATTCAACGATATATTCAATGTATATAATGCAACCAAAATGTCGTCATGGTAAAACAAAAACAAAACAAAAAAAAATTTTTTTTTTCCTTTTGAGTTCAATAAAAAATAATAAATTTTTATAATTTTTAGGTTTTGAAGTTTCAACTAATGATCAACAATGTGTATATAGTCATTTATTAGTAAAGAAAAATTCATTTTCAAATGCACAATCTTATTGTAAATCTATTGGTGGTGTTATTGCAAAAATAAATGATATTTTAGAAATTCAAGATATTTTATCTGAAACAGCTTTAAATAGACGTCGTTCAAAAATTCTTTCAATGTTTGCTTTTATTGATACATATAATGATACAAAATATTATTGGATTGATCGAACATTAGATATTAATAATAATAATAATAATAATACAATATCAAATCGTTTTCTTGAAAAATGTTCACAAACATCAAATACAATTGATAAATATTGTATTGTTGTTCGTTATGAAAAAAATTCATTGGATAATCTAATAACTTGGGATCAATGTATTGCTGAATCAAATCAATGTTCAGTAATGTCAGCTACACCAGTTTGTGTTTATCAACATTTAGAATTTAATTCAACTGTTATTCCTTTAATTGATGATGATAATGATGATGATGATGATGTTTCATTATCTGTATCAGTTAATACATCAATAGATTATTCATGTGGTGATGATGAAGATTATCATTTTATGGATGAATATTGTTATAAAATATCATTTCATGAAATTAATTGGAACGATGCAAAATCTGAATGTGAACGTGATAAAGCTATGTTATTTGTACCTGAAAAAGCCGTTACATTACAAATAATAAAAGCATTATTTTTACGTCGACGTAGCTACACATCATCGGGTTTTGCACATGTTGGTGTTATGTATGATAATCAAAATCGTACTGTTATACAATTTAATATAACCGATGAAAATACATTACGAACTATACCAGATTCTAATGCTATTTATGATCTATGTGAACAAACATTTCATCAACATTATACAAAAATAATTTCATCAAAATCTTTATCAACAAATGAACAAAATCGATTAAAAGCTCAACAAATTGGTTGTGCATATGTTGATTTATTAAATGATATAACACCAGTTATTCGATGTGATGAAATACCTTGTAATCGACAAGCAACTGTAATATGTCAAAAAGCACCGATTTTAAAAACAGTTATCATTGAAGCAAAACGGTTTGTTATTAATAGAAAATACATAGACAATAGGTTTCTTTCAACAGCCTATAAAATATCATCTTTGATCATTAGATTGATTAAATAGATCAGAAAGTATTCGCCATACTGATAAATACATTTTATAAATAAACTTCTTTCATATCTTTGTACTTTCACTAAAAAAAAATTTTTCTAACTCCTATGCTACTCTATAGAAACTCTATCCTACGAAGTTTTGTGGAACTCACGTATGTTTTTGAAGAAAATAGTGAGTGTAAGTTTTAAATTCGAGGTTGGCGGCTCCGGCCCCGGCCGCCCCCGCCCCCGCCAACCCGACGCCCACCAACCGCCATCGGCGGCCGGCCACAGAGAGCACGAGGGATGCTCGAGGAAGTA